GCAATAGTCAATAAACCAGCATGTGTTTAGTAGTTCTGTTTAGTAAGATCTCATATTTTCAAAGTCAAGTTTTGAAGGCTACTTACCGAAAAAAAAAAATACTAAGGGGGAACGCAATCGAAACGCAATCGAAACAGAGTTTCGGGGTTGTCTTAAAGAAGACCACGAAATTACCAAAATAATTTTAAACATTCAATTTTACGGCCAGTAACTATAAAGTTTATAAATAAGAGTGTGCGAATACACGGTATGCCGTGAGTCTTCCTGCACCCCATTTTTCCTGTAATCCTACGCGGAACGCAACTTCGTCTGCATCTTGCGCGGGTGTTGCGGTGATGTCAGAACGCTGAGTTTTGATTGGCTTCGAAGGACAAAGGGTAGAGCCTCAAGGTCTACCCACTATTCGTTCCAATTGGAGCCAATCAGAGCTCGTCGTTCCGACGCGACCGCAACTCCTGCGCAAGATGCAGACGAAGTTGCGTTCCGCATACTCCGACCGCAGCCGCCTGCTATGTGGAGCGCAAGTTCGTCTGCTTTTTTTGCAGGGGTTGTGGTGACGTCAGAAAGACGCCGAGCTCAGATTGGCCCGGGTGGAAGGATAGCGGGTAGAACTCAGAGCAATCTGCCTCGAGGTCTACCGACTATCTTTCAGTCAGAGCCAATCAAAACTCGACGTTCTGACGTCACCACAACGCCTGCAAAAGAAGCAGACGAACTTACCTTCCGCATAGGGTACGATGGAACAAATCGAGCAGCACCAAAAGTCAATCGTCGCAGTCCTCGTCGTCTTTGTACATTTTCTGTGCCACGGCTAAACCAGTCCCGCACAATGAATGCCCCGTGATCCTTTGTTCTTTCCCGCGTGTAATTGGTTTAGCCAGGGATAGCATAGACTAGGGGTAGCCAAGCTGCGGCTCTTGGCGTGTTAAAATGCGGCTCGCGGCTTACCCCCCCCCCCCCCCCCCCCCCCCCTCCTCCTCCTACTCCGCCTCCCTCCCGGTCACACGAGCACTTCCCCAAAAAGAGAAATGGAATGCGTTTTTAAATCGAAAAACAGGTTGCGTTTGGTGGTCTTGTGCTACTACTTGTGCTACAAAAGCGGCCCAACGTACAGTTGGGCCGCTTTTGACTGGGATAGATTGAAAGTAGTTGGAGTTTTGTTCATTGCTCTTAACAGTTTACCCCCCCCCCCCCCCTCCCCTCCCCCGATCCGAAGTTCGCTCCGCGAATGGCTCCGTGAAGTTCCGTGGTTTTGCTTGCAGCTCTTAGGCCGGGTCAGCCTGGCCTCCCCTGGCATAGACCTTTGCGAAAATCGCCTTCTGCACGCTGCCATCTTTGACAGCTTGGCCGTGGAAAGCCTTCTGTGCATGCGCTGTTGCTCTCTTCTGCAGTACACCAAACGCTGCGCATGCGTCCACAGCTCAGTGACTCAGCACTTTTCGGGGATGCTCGAATAGTTCCGTCGGATTTAATGGGAAACGGGAGTATAGCAGCGTGAAGGCTGTGAATGACGTACGCAGCGCTATTCAATTTGAATGACCATTCCAATTGAATGGTCTTCGTCTCTGTCCCCTCTTCGTCCTTGTTTATTCGGCGCTTTCCATTCGGTGATGTACCAACTAGTCCATTTATTTATTCTACTAAATGACCATTCGCACCCCTCTCTTAATAAGGCGGAAAAAGAAAACGTGCCACTCACCACTAAAGGTCCTATAAAAGGTCCAATTTTCGAAAGCCACCCAGGTATACTTGATATCGTTGAAGCTGAAGTACGGTTCTCCAATGATGCCGTTCCTCTTCAGATCGGTATAAATTCCTCCGGGGACTTGAGCGGAAAAATTCATAGCTGAAAACGAAAAACAAAATAGCAACATTATGCATTACCAGGATGAAGCTGATTCGACAAAGCTTGGGAATGAGCTCGTTTAGTGTCACCGAGCCACCGAATAGGCTAATGACTTTCGCATGGTATTGGTTACTCCGCTGCTTTGTTGACATTAAAAGAATCCTGAAACAAAAGTGGAAACTGCGCTTAAATGTGCATGTCCTGTTTTATTATTATTATTATTATTTTGTTTCAACATTGTTTAGTATTTAGGTAGGTGCGTAGTTAAATCAACACCAGACAACATACAATCAGAGAACAACCGAAGAGCCTCCGTGCAGTACGATAGGGATAAAACACGCTTAGTCTTAGAGGTGCATATATCAAATAATAATTGTTTTGCACTAGCCACTTTAGTAGCACACACACACCGTGGTAGCACACTTATGCACTCTTGCACACATTACTAAAAAAAAAGTAATCGATTACAATTACTATTACGCTTGGCTAAAAAGTATTCGATTAGATTACTTGATTACTCGCCGGAAAAAGTAATTGGACATTACTCAAAGAAGTAATCGCTACTTTTTCCGATTACTTTATTGTGTGAAGACACATCTTTTGCGCTCATTACAATGAACTACTTCCAACCTATATTTCACATTTGCACAAGTATTGAAGAAGTAAAACTGGCTCCCTCCTCGTGGTCGTTGCACCTTCACAATGCGGACACAAGCATAGAATTCGTTTGAAGACGTTTAATGTTTTGGCCGTTCGCCAGTGTGTGTGTGTGTGTGGGGGGGGGGGGGGGGGGGGGGGGTGGAGGGGGCTCTAGATCTTGTTAAGCTTGAGCAAGGGTTGTCGCTCATTTTATTATTCACATGTGGATGAGCTCGCATGTTATACAAAAGAGCAGCAGTCTCAGGATTTGAAACGGATCATGTGTAGTATCCATTAGCGGAAGAGATCGCCCCGACCACTTCTCAACTCAAAACATTACTTGTCACAAAGACCACGTACGGGAAATAGGGAAATATTTCAACTGCCTTTGTTATAATTTGCATCCGCTTTAGGCATTCTTCGGTTCTAGTTCTCCTACGGGCTGCGAGTAGGTACCCAAAACAGGATTTTTTATTTATTTTTTATTTCTGTGTGTGTGTGCGCGAGGGGGCTATAGTTTGAACGAAGGACTCACAAAGCTACATTCTGCTTTCTCAAACTTCACCCTGAATAGCCTTTGTCACTCACTGTGGCTTTCCTGGGGCTTCCCACTCCCCCCCCCCCCCCCCCCCCCCCCCCCTCCCAGTCCCAGCTCGAAAAACAAAACAAAAACGGACATTCCACAGAAATTGTACATAGAAAGAGATTGACCTCGTTTCCTACAGCTCCGCAAAAATGTTTCATTTTTCCGTTCGAAAAAAAATGCAAATTTTATTTTTGTCATTTCATAAAAAAAAAAAAAAAAGGCGTGTGCCCGGGGGGGGGGGGGGGGGGGGGGGGGGGAAGGGGTCCCGTGGACAAATTGTAACGGTTACAAGTAATTTTATTACTTCAAAAAGTAATCAGATTACTTTTGTGATTACTGCCTAATAAAAGTAATCAACTGATTACTAAATTACTCCAAAAGTAATCGATTACAAGTAATTTGGTTACTTGTAATGCGTACGGTACAAGTCTGCACTTATGACATATTCGCCCGGTCAATTTACAGCCTCCTGGAGCGCCTTAATATGCCGATGCTCAATCGCCAAGTCGGAGTCGGGCGCTCAAAGTATATTCAACGGGTTCTTTCAGGGCGCTCTCGGATTATCCGATCGCGCCGTACTCTGACTCGTTGCACTGTGAGGAGCTATGACTTCGAAGTGGGAGCGGTGGGAGCGCGACAAGAGGACCGGTCACGTGACCCAAACCCCTTCCGCTGATGAGTTGAAGGAGAAAGAAGCCGATGCGGCTGAAAACCTTAAAAATCAACTGCAAAGAAAAAAAAATGTTTTTAAACAGCCTAATTGGGACAAGCATGTCACAAAACAAATTTTCCGAAAAAAAAAAGATTTTACAGCAATATTTATTGCGCGAGACTGATTTTAGTTAACGGCTATTTCTTCCGTTTTATATCGTGCGCCACAAAGTTACTATTATATGTCACGGAGTGACGTGCGATAGCAACTCTCCTAATTAGCTAAGAGATTGATTGACAGCTTAGATCTTAAACCTTAAACCTTCGTGATGTGTTGTAATGTCCTTTTGAGCGGCATATTTTTACTCTTAAAGAATAACCCACGTAATGAAAGTTATTATTCTTTACAAAGAGTTTCCAAGACAGGCACTTCCGTTTGAGTTCATACCGCAACAAACAAAAGCTTCGCGTGAGGACATCTTGAGGACATCCTAAAGACATTCACGTAACTACGTGTGGGTGCACAGAAGACTTACCCTAAAGTCGCTGCTAATACATCGTACAAAAGACTGCCTGCATACATTGTCTGAGGCGTGCTTCCTTCTCGTTTTACGGTCTTAGTTGTCACATTAGAGAGTTTTAGGGAACCGTTTTTGCGCATCCGATATGGTACGATGGGCCCTCCGGTATGAACTGTGCATCAGCTACCGCGGGAGACTCCCACATGCACAGTTCGTACCGGAGGGCACACCGTATACCGTATCGGATGCGCAAAAACGGTTCCCTAAAACTCTCTATTGATCGTGCAAAAAATGGTCTGCTAGCGAAGCTGCTTCCAAGATGGCTGAGGGGTGCCCGCAGATAATTCCGTATCCTTTGTATAATGTATGGGAGAAAGAGAATACAATTTTTTTTTAGTGAGCCGTGTCACTGCGGTTTGAAGGCCGACTTCGCGCTTTCCACTTTTACCCTCCTCTCTTCCTATAGCCTCTCTATTTATTTAACGTGCCCCATGGAGCGCTAACAAAGATCATGTTGCCTGCAGAAAACCGAGGTTGTATCGTTGGCCTTAAGGCAGCACTCGGGAGTTAAATTAGTGTTGCGAGTCAGTGAGACAAGCTGCCATACCGAGCACGTGTAGCAGTGGTAAATGCAACGGCCTCAGGTGGTGACTAGTCGGTGGCAGGTTTAGAGAAAGAGCACCTCCCACCTCTTTCCACCCTAGCAGAGCGAACGCTAGAGAAGATGTTGCCTCCTCGCTAGCGTTCGCTCTGCTAAAGCGGAAAGAGGAGGGAGGACCTTTATACTTAGGAGACAACCTTTCTCGGCATTTTTGAGGAGAGGAGAAGATCGCGCGCAGCATTTAGTGGCTCTCAAAATGGAAGAGGGCACGCGTGCCCGTACCTTTGACTGCACTGCCGAGAAAACTGGTTCCCGAGTATAGTGTTGACATCAGGCCATTTTTGTGGCGACGGTTTTGTTTCATTTTTGCTCAGTAGCATGCGAAGGAGCGTCTTGCGCCGGCACGAGCCTCTTGACTGTTACTCGAGGATGTTGAGCCAATTATAACATCTTTGGTGTTACTGAAGTGTTCAAATGGCTTTTTTTTTTTCTCGCCTACTTCTTTGTTTTTGCTTTTGTGAGCGCGTGCTCTCAGAAACGGGGACTGCAAACAGTGACATCATCATAAACAAAAGAACGTTGATGCACTCTGTATCCGAAGTACCTTTTTTGTCCATCCCCCCAATAAGTTTTTTTTTTCTTTTAAAGAAAGCCCAACAAAACATAGTAGGGTGGATAAGATGCAAAGGTGTGGAATAATTCTTTATCTAGAATCAGCTACTTCTTTATAAAGGTTAACTGGCAAAGTCGCCGTCGTAAGCTATTATTTCGTTACATTAAAAGAACTGTTTTGCCGTTCTAGATAAAGCAGCGTTTCTTTTATTTGATTTCAGATTGGTGGACACCACGTGCCGTATGTGGTACTGCTGGCTCAAGTAGAAATAAAAAAAGTGTTTGAAAAAGTCAAGTACAATTAAACTGAGATGTTATCTATTTCAATAAAATAGTAAGCAAACGGGACGAAATATGATTCAGAAAAGCTACAATACATTAAACATTCCCTCAGAGCAACGTGAGTGAGTACGTATTAACCAAATATTTTTTTCAAACGTATTTGTTCTTTTAAAGCATTTTTGTTTCAGTCTGGGTTATCAACTGTATCTAGACACGGACATGAACAAAAAAAGTTAGACAGCGGCCCTTTATTTTGACCATTCTAATTTATCTTCATGTTTCTTCCCAGTCTTAGGGTTTAAACATCATGATCAACACGCGCAAACACGCCTGCACTTCGATCATTTTTTTTCGCTAATGAACAGTGTCTCAGCTCAGGCCTCATTCTTGACCAAAGTATTACAAGGTATTAGTCGCTAAGCTTAGAAATTTTATCACAGTGATTCGAGACTCCGCCTAACCTATGTAAAGAAGCATGGCTGCGAATAGTTTATTTTTTAACTTGACTAAAAATCTAGCTGTAACAGTTGGGAGAACCCTTACACTTCGAATTCACTGCCGACTCACGTGGACGTGCGCGGTGGATATTCAATTAAAGTTTCTCATTAACAGTTTGTGCGCAGGCATGCATAAACAACAATGCATAAAAAGCTGTATTAAAAATTAAAATGACCGCGGTTTTATCAAAATGAAAAAAAAACCGCCCCTTCTAGATTTTGTCACAACTTAAGTTGAAATTACCAAGTGCGGGAGATGGTTGCTCTAACTGTTTAGATCGTTTCTTCAGTGTACCCACGACGCGCTTTTTATTTATATGTCCTTGTAGCGCGTCCGTTTATATCAAATTTGTGATAAAGGAGACGCGTCATTCATATGTTGGCGTGGGAGCGTTTGCCAACTTTCGAAAACACGATAACATATAAATGACGCAACAGTCGCGATAAATGCAATACGCGCAATATCATCGTTACTCTGCCCGTCATACATTCGTTTTCATCCGTTTGCCAAGGACGGGAGTTTCCCCGCAGAGATATGTGGTGGGCAAAAAAGAGAGGTGTGACGATTGCGCGGGCGAGGGCGGTCCCTGGATTCATTTCCATATTATACA